CTCACTCAAATCAACAATCATATTGTCACCCAAACTATCAGTCTTATTCTCACTAAAACCGTCAGTCATATTGTCAGTCAAATCGTCAGTCATATTGTCACTCAAACCGTCAGTCATATTGTCAGTCAAACTGTCAGTCATTCACTCACTCAAATCAACAGTCATATTGTCATCCAAACTGTCAGTCTTATTCTCACTAAAACCATCAGTCATACACTCTCTTAAACTATGAGTCATATTGTCACCCAAACTCTCAGTTATATTCTAAATAAAACCGTAAGTCATATTGTCGGTCAAACCGTCAGTCATATTGTCAGTCAAACTGTCAGTCTTACTCTCAATAAAAAGCTAATTCATAGTGTCTGTCAAACCACAGTCATATTGTCACTCAAACTGTCAGTAATATTCTAATTAAAGCCGTCAGTCATATTGTCAGTCAAACTGTAAGTCATACACTCACTCAAATCAACAATCATATTGTCACCCAAACTATCAGTCTTATTCTCACTAAAACCGTCAGTCATATTGTCAGTCAAATCGTCAGTCATATTGTCACTCAAACCGTCAGTCATATTGTCAGTCAAACTGTCAGTAATATTCTAATTAAAGCCGTCAGTCATATTGTCAGTCAAACTGTCAGTCATTCACTCACTCAAATCAACAGTCATATTGTCACCCAAACTGTCAGTCTTATTCTCGCTAAAACCATCAGTCATACACTCTCGTAAACTATGAGTCATATTGTCACCCAAACTCTCAATCATATTCTAAATAAAACCGTAAGTCATAGTGTGTGTCAAACCGTCAGTCATATTGTCAGTCAAACTGTCAGTCATTCACTCACTCAAATCAACAGTCATATTGTCATCCAAACTGTCAGTCTTATTCTCACTAAAACCATCAGTCATACACTCTCTTAAACTATGAGTCATATTGTCACCCAAACTCTCAGTTATATTCTAAATAAAACCGTAAGTCATATTGTCGGTCAAACCGTCAGTCATATTGTCAGTCAAACTGTCAGTCTTACTCTCAATAAAAAGCTAATTCATAGTGTCTGTCAAACCACAGTCATATTGTCACTCAAACTGTCAGTAATATTCTAATTAAAGCCGTCAGTCATATTGTCAGTCAAACTGTAAGTCATACACTCACTCAAATCAACAATCATATTGTCACCCAAACTATCAGTCTTATTCTCACTAAAACCGTCAGTCATATTGTCAGTCAAATCGTCAGTCATATTGTCACTCAAACCGTCAGTCATATTGTCAGTCAAACTGTCAGTAATATTCTAATTAAAGCCGTCAGTCATATTGTCAGTCAAACTGTCAGTCATTCACTCACTCAAATCAACAGTCATATTGTCACCCAAACTGTCAGTCTTATTCTCGCTAAAACCATCAGTCATACACTCTCGTAAACTATGAGTCATATTGTCACCCAAACTCTCAATCATATTCTAAATAAAACCGTAAGTCATAGTGTGTGTCAAACCGTCAGTCATATTGTCATCCAAACTATCAGTCTTATTCTCACTAAAACCGTAATTCATATTGTCACTCAAACCGTCAGTCATATTGTCATTAAAACGGTCAGTCATACACTCACTCAAATCAACAGTCATATTGTCACCCAAACTCTCAGTCATATTCTAAATAAAACCGTAAGTCATATTGTCAGTCAAACTATCAGTCATATTGTCAGTCAAACTATCAGTCTTATTCTAACTAAAAAGCTAATTCATAGTGTCTGTCAAACCGAAGTCATATTGTCACTCAAATTGTCAGTCATTCACTCACTCAAATCAACAGTCATATTGTCACCCAAACTGTCAGTCTTATTGTCAGTCAAACTGTCAGTCATTCACTCACTCAAATCAACAGTCATATTGTCACCCAAACTATCAGTCTTATTCTCACTAAAACCATCAGTCATACACTCTCGTAAACTATGAGTCATATTGTCACCCAAACTCTCAGTCATATTCTAAATAAAACCGTAAGTCATAGAGGCTGTCAAACTATCAGTCATATTGTCATCCAAACTATCAGTCTTATTCTCACTAAAACCGTAATTCATATTGTCACTCAAACCGTCAGTCATATTGTCATTAAAACGGTCAGTCATACACTCACTCAAATCAACAGTCATATTGTCAGTCAAACTATCAGTCTTATCCTAACTAAAAAGCTAATTCATAGTGTGTGTCAAACCGTCAGTCATATCGTCAGTCAAACTATCAGTCTTATTCTCACTAAAACCATCAGTCATACACTCTCTTAAACTATGAGTCATATTGTCACCCAAACTCTCAATCATACACTCACTCAAATCAACAGTCATATTGTCAGTCAAACCGGCAGTTATATTGTCAGTCAAACTGTCAGTCTTATTCTAACTAAAACCGTAAGTCATAATGTGTGTCAAACCGTCAGTCATATTGTCACTCAAACTGTCAGTCTTATTCTAACTAAAAAGCTAATTCATAGTGTGTGTCAAACCGTCAGTCATATTGTCAGTCAAACTGTCAGTCTTATTCTAACTAAAAAGCTAATTCATAGTGTGTGTCAAACCGTCAGTCATATTGTCAGTCAAACTATCAGTCTTACTCTCAATAAAAAGCTAATTCATAGTGTGTGTCAAACCGTCAGTCATATTGTCAGTCAAACTGTCAGTCTTATTCTAACTAAAAAGCTAATTCATAGTGTGTATCAAACCGAAGTCATATTGTCACCCAAACTGTCAGTCTTATTCTCACTAAAACCATCAGTCATACACTCTCTTAAACTATGAGTCATATTGTCACCCAAACTCTCAAGCATACACTCACTCGAATCAACAGTCATAGTGTCTGTCAAACCACAGTCATATTGTCAGTCAAACTATCAGTCATATTCTAACTAAAACCGTAAGTCATAGTGTGTGTCAAACCGTCAGTCATATTGTCAGTCAAACTGTCAGTCATTCACTCACTCAAATCAACAGTCATATTGTCATCCAAACTATCAGTCTTATTCTCACTAAAACCATCAGTCATACACTCTCTTAAACTATGAGTCATATTGTCACCCAAACTCTCAATCATACACTCACTCAAATCAACAGTCATATTGTCAGTCAAACCGGCAGTTATATTGTCAGTCAAACTGTCAGTCTTATTCTAACTAAAACCGTAAGTCAAAGTGTCTGTCAAACCGTCAGTCATATTCTCAGTCATATTGTAGTTCATACTATCACCCAAACTGTTGTTCATACTGTCACTCAAACTCTAAGTCATATTGTCAGTCAAACTGTGAGTCATATTCTCTCTCAAGCCTTGAGTTATACTGACAACCAAACCCTCATTCAAAATGTCACTCAAACTGTCAGTTATATTCCTAGACACATTCAAACTTTCAGGCATATTGTCAGCCAGATACTCAGTTATAGAGTCACTTTTTTGTCATTAATGAATTCAGTTATAGATTCAAACATACATTCGGTCCAATATTGGATCATGCAGTTAATTCTACATTTTTTTAACTTGTAAGTCATTATTTATGAAAATATTTAAAATAGTGTAATTGCACAATGATGTGCAGTATTATCTTTAATATTAATATTGTAATATGATATTAGATTTTATCATATGAGATATTAATATTGATTTATGGATCACTGCACAATGATGTGCAGTATTATCTTTAATATTAATATTGTAATAAGCAATGTTATATTCTAATTTGAATGTTCCTTTTTAACCTCATGATTTCTTCTCACTGATCTGCCTTTTTATGCAGCATTTTGTATTTAATCTCTCTTATCCTTTAGATTCTCTATGCTTTCCATCTTTCTAAACCAGATTCCATTGTTAATTCTTAAATTAACACAAATCTTAAATTTCATATTAGTCATTGATCTGAAGTTATTGAAACATCTGACGTCTTTAGATTATCTTATTTAATATTAAAATGATTGATCTATTTACATTTTTAAAATAGTCCTAAAAAGTCTCAATATTTATAAAAGCATAATAAAATTAAATTTTTTAATATCATTTTGTAAATTATTCGTTTACTTTATGGTATAGTCTTGAAAAAGTATCAAAAAACATTATCTTAATGGTCTCTAAAGAGGTTAAGTAGCATACACACAGATATGCTAATGTGGTAAAAAGAGATTTATTGCAAAAAGTCCAAAATAGTATATTTATTATCAAGATTCGCGTGGAAACGTACGAGTTTGGGACGAATAACTAACATTCTTAAACATTTAGTAATACTCTGATAAGTACAAGTCCTTAGATGCGACATCTGGCTTCTTTTGTTCTAACTTACCAAATTCAAGAACTCAAGTTGGCAGTAACTCTGTACTAAACATACTCTAAGAGTTTGTCATTATTCCGTGTATGACAAATCATACTTTAATGTTTTACTCGTTGAATAAAGAATGCTTGATTTTGAAATCGAATGTTTTTGCTTAAATAGTTCCAGATTCTTGAACTAGGGACGGAATTAGAGGACACGTCTTTGCTGGTTAGTCGCGTGCTTGATGACAATATGCTACAATTATAATAAACGTACAAAAGGGACGAAAATTGAGAGCTTGTAACTTTCAACCTCGAACAATTCAAGGAAAAATATAATGATGGGAGGCTAAAACTTAATCTAAAGGTTATTTAAGGTATTTTAGAGGTATAATTCAATTAAAAGACATAAAATTCTATTGTTCTGTAACTGAAAATTTCTACGATAATTCAATGTGACGATCATATCTCTTTGAATTGGAGACCAAAATTAATATATGTAATTAGTATTCCATATCTGATATATTATCACTGACAAATTTATCAATTCAAAGTGAATTAAGGTTTTTACATAGCACATAAGTTAGGAAGGTGCTACCATATCAACTTGAAGGATTACACTTCCCATTCCTTCTCTATCTTCCTTTACAAGAAGTCTCTCTTCGGAAAGAAATTCATCGGAAGATGCGATATTCCAACATACGTTCTCCCTATGGATAAGGTCACAATTAACTACCTTCCAATGGTTAACCCAGAATTCAACAACACACCAGCTGTTCTTAGACTTACACTTCATTTAACACAAAACACACAACCATACAAGGGTGAAATTGTCCCATCAGTTCTTAAGCAAGCTGAAGTTAACGATATTAACTTCAAACTTGAGCTCTCATCTGATGATGACAACATGATCAACTCTCCACTTATTTAAGATGTTATTTATGATGTTGTTTTTTTAAACTATTCATGATCATTGTTAATTTAATACTTTTTTTGTTTTATCTTTGAAAGGAAAAAGAATTTTTTTTTGATCTTTTCATAAAATTCCAATGGTGAACTGATTAAAGCACGTGAAAATATTTTTTAGAGAACATAATGTAGGGATTTAATCAATTGCAGGCTAATTAAAATTTTGATTTGGATATATCACCTCTAAACTGGCCATTAACTGCATAAATAATTTTATCTAGTATTTGTATTTTTGAACTTTGGGAATTTATCAATATTATTGAAATCTTTCACAAATCAAATATATTTTCAGTTTAAAATTACGGCATAATTTACGGAAAAAAAACATAAATTGGATTTAAAACGAAGTTTTTATTAACATACAATAAAATTATCAAAGAACGGAGATTTTTCTTGTTCAGGTGTAGCTTTCTTAAAAGAAATATTGAATTTTGAGTTCTTCATTATTCTTCTAAGAGCAAGTGCTGTACATATGATGGTCTTGGCACTTAATTCTGCTGGCTTAATCTGATTATACTTCTTGAGAGTAAATATCTTTTGAAGTCTTAATGATTCAATATGCTTAACTAGGCTTCCAAGTCCAGCACATTCACGAACCATTGATTCAACTTTAGAACGAAGCTCATTCTGATCATTTGAAGTGTATGCTCCGTCAGTTACATTCTCACAAATTCTCTTTGCCCATTCTGCCCATTCGCAGTTTTCATATGCTTGATTAGCATTTGCTCTGGCCATAATAACTTCTTTCTTCATTGAACGGATCTTCTCTTCGCATTTCTCAAGTTTTGTTGTTTTTTCTTGCATTGTCTTTTGCATGCTCGTTACTGATTCTATGAAAGATAATGATTTTGGAGCAGAAATTATTTCTCTTGCCTGATTGATTTCCTCCTTCATGTTGTCAAGCTTGCTTTGCAATGATAAGAGTTCAAAGACTTTAAGATCAAGCTGCTCAATAAAATCTTCATGGTTATTTGATGGATCATTCAGAAGTTTAGCTGCAATATCATGAAGAGAATCATAGTCACTTTGCATTGTTGCCTTCTGTTTATCCATTCTGCTCTTATATTCACACTCAAGTGCAAATGATCTTGCTTTGAGTTCGCTTTGGAAGGAAGCAATTTCTCTTTGCATTTTGTCATAACATTGCTTTAATTGTGTACGAAGAACTGTATTTTGAGCTGAAATATTCTGCTTTTCGCCTTCAATTTCTTTGATATGAAGAGAAAGTTGTTCTGCATTATCTTCTAACTCTTTAATCTTGGCGTTCTTTTCATTAAGTTCTGCTTGAATTGTCTCAATTTGCTGGCATAAATCTTCATTCTTTTCTTGATATTCTGTTTCCTTTCCTGCCATTTCTTCTCTTACTCGTGCAATGCTCTTCTTAGAACGAGAAACAACTGATTTAACTGTTATTTCTGCAGCTTCTTTGAGGTCAAGAATACTTCTTTCAAGAGATTCATTTTCTTCTTTAAGTCTGGATATCTGATCGCGACACTTTCCTAATTCTTGCTCTTGAGTTCCATAATTCTTGATAGAATCTTCTAAGATATCATTCTCATCCTTCATCTTTTGAATTTCAGAGTTGAGCTCAATGATCTTGTCCTGCAATTCTGATATCTGTTGCTTTAATTGTTGTTCATTTTCATTATTCTTACTCTCAATTTCTTGCATTTTTGTTGTTGAATCTGCCTTAGCTTCATCAACCATTCGCTTAAGCTCTTCAACGCAATTTTGAAGTTCTTGATTTTGGTTATTAAGATCTCTTGTAGCAAATTCGATAATATCTGAATTATTGACGTTCTGCTCTTCAGAATCTGTTTCTTCATTGTTCTGGTTACTCATTTCTTCCAATTCTTTCTTCAATTGAGAAATTTCTGCTTCATAACGAGCGCGCTCATCTGACTTAATAGCCTTGGCTGATTCATTCATTGCCTCGATATTGTTTTGTAAACTCTTTATTTCATTAGAATATTTCTCAACTTTTGATTTGTTGAGATTTGAATATTGAACAAGAGCAAAATTAGATTGGATGCATTGAATAACAATACCTAGCAATTCTAATTCCTTTGGAGAATTTGTTTCTTCAAATTTCTCGAAATAGTTAGAAATTTCGGTAATTTGTTCAGCAGATGGCATTTCAAATAAGAATGTATTATATATTGTTTCAACAGTTGGTAATTGGATATTATTCTTTTGAATTGATTCCTTGATTTGCTGAATTTCGGTTTGTAATAATTGTCTAATGCTATCAAGTGAATATGGAACTTCTGACCAAGATTGAATCAGCTTTGAATCAATTAATTGATGGATAAACGAAATATTTGATGCTACAACATTTCTAAGCTTTGCGATTATTTCCTTTTCACTAGTATTTTGTTGTTCTATGAAGTTTTGTTTATAATATTCAGTTATCTTTGCAAATGATTCTTCTATTGCACTTGAGGTTTTGCCATTTAAGATATCTTGGATATCTTTCTTGATTGTACTTGGTGATAGTGAAATAACTTTGTTTATTATATGCTTATAGTCGATTGCATGTTGGGTTAACTGCTTTTCTAACGTTTCTTTGGCCTCTTTGACGGATTTTAGCTCTTGCCTCGTGTTATCAAGCAATGATAAAGTATTTTGAGAAAGATCATTTAACTTATGAATGTATGATACCATATTGTTTCTAATAGTTATGCAATGATTCAATTCTTCTGACTGACTTTCAATCTGCTCACGCATTTCATCGAAAATACCAATAATATGCTGTTTCTCGTCTTCCTTATTCTTTAATAATCTCTGATATTCGTTTATGTGCGGATTATTTTCGATTTGATTCTGTAAAAGAGAAATTTTTTCTTGTAATTTGTTATTTTCGGAAGTAAGTTGCTTAATTGACTCATCGCTCTTGATTATCTTATCATTTCTAATTTCAATTTGTTTCTTAGACTGCGCTAATAGCTTTTTCATTTTCTCTGGCGAATAATAATCTTGTAGTTTATCATTTAGCTTTTTAATGGTTTCATCTTTGATTGTGCTTTGGGCAGAAACCTGTGCAATTTCTCTTTGCAAGCGTTCAACTTCTGTACGTAGATTGACAAAATCTATCTTTAAGGCAACATTTGATTCGTTTTTAAGACGCAATTGTGTAATTTCTGCTATTATCTCCTTTTCTCCTGAACCTTCTGGCAAACCAATCATTTTTGCGAGATTTTGGGAATATAGAGCGCAAACATCCTTCAGTTCAGGTCGTTTTACGAGCAATGATACAGAAGATGTCAAAATTTTTGCAATATCTTTGTTATTTATTCGCTTTTGAATGAAATTAATGATTAATTGACATAGAATTCCGGATTTCTTGGAACTTAGAATAGTTTTATTTAATTCTTCACTAGCATTTTGACTAATGAACCTTGATAATGCAAGATATTCTGGAGATATAGCAATATCTTCCGTATTTTGCATACAAGATTTTAAGTTTCCGTTTATTAATTTTGATTATTCTTTATGAAATTTCTGCATACATATTTTATTGCTGAATAATGATTGCAATGCTGCATAAAGTTCAAATGTAACTTTGGAACTATTACTTTATTGGAGAATTTAATTATTTGAATCTAATTTAGTTAATATTCGAAAAAGGAACTTATTGATCATATGACATGAAGCAAAAATGAATATATATCCATCAGATTCCATAGCACTGTATATTGAAATATCATATGAGAACGTATTTAAGTCCTTTCAAGCGATTATTACTTATATGTCGGTAATTTTACAGAACTGCACTATTTTGGGCATTTGAATTGCACTTAAAAAGGAATGGTGAAATTTTTGTGTATAAATTGATCATTCAAATACTTATTTATCATAAGTAATAAAACAAACATATATGTGAAACATAGTGTAAACGCATATAGCATTACTTTACAAAAAAAAAAAATTATATAAAGTTTTATTAATGATAAACAAATGCAGAATTCTTTATTTCATCAACTCGATGAATTCGTTGTATACCTTATTACACAAATCGTCAGCTTCGTCCTGAGTATGAGCTTCTCCAATCACACGAACGATTGGCTCAGTATTAGACTTTCTGACGTGAACCCACCAGTCTCTGTTATCAACTCTGAGTCCATCCTTTTCATCGAGGGCGATAGTTCTAGCGTATTGTTTCATCATCTTTTCCTTCCATTGCTCGATGAGTTCTGGAACGTTTGTAGTATTCTTCATTGGAATCTTCTTCTTGGAGATCCTCCATTGTGGAAGAGCTCCCTTAATTTGGGAAATTGTAATATTTGGATTTTGTTCACGTTCTGCAGCGAAGAGTTGAAGTACCATTGCAGTGGCAACAAGTGCATCACGTCCAATATGGCATGAAGTAAGCATTACACCACCATTTCCTTCTCCACCGATTTCAGAGCCGACTTCGACCATTCTCATGGCAACATTGACTTCTCCGATTGGTGTTCCGTAGCATGTAACGCCGTGTTGGCGACAGATATCGTCGACAGCGCGAGATGTAGAAATGTTGCGGCAAACAGGGGTCTTTACGCCACCGTACTTAAGAGCGTAGTTAACTGCAAGGGCAAGAGTATATTCTTCGACAAGAGGAATTCCGTCTTCTCCAATCAATACGCAACGATCGGAATCTGGATCAACAGCGATACCAATATCGTGTCCTTTGACAGCATCGCAAAGCTGTGTAAGATTCTCTGGTATTGGTTCTGGTGTATGTGCAAATAATCCTGTTGGTTCAGTGTTTAATTCGGTAACTTCGCATCCAAGCTGACGAAGGATGACGGGGATGGCAAGAGAACCAGCTCCATTGATGGTATCGACAGCAACTTTGAAGTGCTGTTTCTTAATTTTTTCGACATCGATAAATTTCTGGCCGAAAATGTTGTTTATGTGATCTTGGATAGCATTCGGATAATTTGTAAGTGTTCCCAACTTGTCCCAAGTTGCAAACTTGGAGTATTTGCATGAAAACATCTCATCGCAGTTAAATTGGTCGAGGAAGATTCCTGTGAATTCAACAAACTTGAGACCGCACCACTGTTGAGGGTTATGCGAAGCAGTGATAACGATACCACCACAAGCCTTGAATTGCTGTACCATTAATTGGACAGTTGGTGTTGGAACGATACCGATATCAACTACATCAATTCCACAGGCCATAAGGGCTCCAATAGTAACTTGCTTGATCCAGGAAACGGCTGGACGAGTATCATAGCCAAGAATTACTTGTTTTCCTTTTCCTTTCGTAAGCTGGAGACCGGCGAATCCAGAAACATATTTAGAAACAACTTCTGGAGTAAGAGAACCACCGACAACTCCACGAATGCCGGAAATTGTGAGCATGAGAGTATCAGAACTCATTTGATTTTGAATAAGTGAAGTAAATTGAATTTACATATCGCCCTCCTTTCGACCATTCAAATTCTCAATTCCCAAATTGACATTCGGCAAAAAAATAGTTGAGATTTAATCAGGAACAACTTTTGTCAAAATCAAGTTTATTTGTTATAAAAATTTTCATTTCAAATCTTCGAGTTTAGAATTTTCAATACACATGATGAATCAACTATAGGATCTTTTTGTAGTATTTTTTTCTCAGCTTTGCTGCGCGCCGATAGAATGCTCTATACAATATCTACATTAATTCGCAGTCTTTAATTAAATCAAATTAGGTAACTAAATTTCATATTTTTGTGACTTATTTTTGACCATTTTCGCTTGCGATTTTTTATCGATTTTAAAATAATAGCATATATCAATTTTAGTTATATTGTGCTGTGGATTGATCCATTTAAATCGCCGAAAATTCAATGATCAAATATTTTCAAAAATAAATTATGTTCAAAATTCGTTTCTAAGCAGTTAATTTTATTCCTTATCCTATGATATATTATATTCACAATATATGTAATAATCACATAAATCACTTCGAAATGCTGGACTGCTAATTTCAAAAGAGGAGAACAACCACGCTTTTCACATTGTTTATCTACAATAAATTAGAAACACGATATCTCAGCACGGTATTCAATACTCGATTTTGAAATTCAATTTAAAAATGGAGCTTATAATGAAATATGCATATTTTAACAGATTGATCCAGAGAATTGAGTATGTGATCTGAAAGACTGCATATTTACTATATTTCTGCATTCAAGGGAAGCCAAATACGGAAAAGTATATGAAAAGATATTTTTTATTTCTCATGAAATTCATTTTCGAAATTAAAAGAAAAATAAAGAAAAGCGCATTATGTTGGGACATTAATGATTTGCACCATATGAGATGAGAAGTTTGGCTGTTTCTTTACTATTATTTTCTCCATTTCCATCCTTTTAATTGATATTTGCTCCATATGAGATAAGAAGTTCGAAAATTTTTTATTGTTATGTTTTGTTGCATGATCAAGAGGGGTATTTCCAAAATTATCTTTTTCATTGATATTTGCACCATGTGAGATAAGAAGTTGGGCTATTTCTTTACAATTATTTTCTGCTGCATGATGAAGAGCAGATTTTCCATTATTGTTGTTTTCATTGATATTTGCACCATTTGAAATGAGGAGTTCGGCTGTTTTTTCACTATTTTTTGACGCTGAAATATGAAGAGCGGTATTTCCAAAATTATCTTTTTCATTGATATTTGCACCGTGTAAGATAAGCAATTCGGCTATTTCTTTACTATTATGTTCTGCTGCATGATGAAGAACAGATTTTCCATATTTAGTTTTTTCATTGATATTTGCGCCATGTGAGATAAGAAGTTCGACAGATTTTTTATTGCTATGTTTTGTTGCATAATAAAGAGCGGTATTGCCAAAATCATCTTTTTCATTGATATTTGCAACATGTGAGATAAGTAGTTCAACAATTTCTTTATTATCATTTTCTGATGCAATATGAAGAGCAGACTTTCCATATTTAAATTTTTCATTGATATTTGCGCCATGTGAGATAAGAAGTTCGACAATCTCTTTATTATTTTGTTTTGTTGCATAATAAAGAGCGGTATTGCCAAAATTATCTTTTTCATTGATATTCGCACCATTTGAAATGAGAAGTTCAATGATTTCTTTATTATTTTGTTTTGTTGCAATATGAAGAGCGGACTTTCCATATTTAAATTTTTCATTGATATTTGCACCATTTGAAATGAGAAGTTCGACAATTTCTTTACTTTTTTTCAATGTTGCATAATCAAGAGGGGTATTTCCAAAATTATCTTTTTCATTGATATTTGCACCATGTGAGATAAGAAGTTCGGCTATTTCTTTATTATTATGTTCTGCTGCATGATGAAGAGCAGATTTTCCATTATTGTTGTTTTCATTGATATTTGCACCATTTGAAATGAGAAGTTCGACAATTTCTTTATTATTTTGTTTTGTTGCATAATAAAGAGCGGTATTGCCAAAATTATCTTTTTCATTGATATTTGCACCATGCAAGATAAGTAATTCGGCTACTTCTTTACTATTATGTTTTGCTGAAAAATGAAGAGCTGTATTGCCAGAATTATCTTTTTCATTGATATTTGCACCATTTGAAATAAGAACTTCGGCTGTTTCTTTACTATTATACAATGCTGCATAATAAAGAGAGGCATTTCCAAAATTATCTTTTTCATTGATATTTGCACCCTTTGAAATGAGAAGTTCGACAATTTCTTTATTATTATGTTTTACTGCATGATGAAAAACAGATTTTCCATAATATTTTTCATTGATATTTGCACCATTTGAAATGAGAAGTTCGACTATTTCTTTACTATAGGGTGTCCAAAGGTGTGTTTAGCACAAACCTGAATACTGCGAATAGAAATAAACAAGTTACATATATATAAAGTTTATTTAAATATAATCACCATTGGATTCAATCACGCGTTCGCAGCGATCGATCCAGGCTTGAAAGACACGCTTTAAATCATCATGAGAAAATTGCTCAAATTGCTCTCTTACAAAATTTTCAAGATCATCTGGACTCGCGAATTCGCGTCCTTCAGCTCTCTTTTTTAGCGTGCCGAATAAATAAAAGTCAGAGGGTGCAATATCAGGTGAATAAATTGGGTTTGGAACAACTTTGACATTGTTTTCCACCAAGTAATTCATTACCTTATGACTTTTGTGAACTCTTGAATTATCAAAATGAATTGCAAACTTTTGTTTTTGTTGTTTGGATTTCTCAAACTCATCAGAATTGATAATTTGAGTAAGAAACATTGTCAATTAGATACTGAGCATTCATCGTATTAGGTTTTTGAAGAATATCAATTGCGATGATGCCATTCACGCCCCAAAAAACCGACAACATCATCATTGGTGTGTCAATTTTTTTCTTCGGGAATGTTTGCGGATTTTCATCCTTCGGGATCCACATGATTTTGGCTTCTGTTGCATATTGAAACCAAGACTCGTCCCCTGTTACTAAAAAGCGAAACTTCTTGGATTGATACGTACCCAATATAGAGAGGAGCTCTTTCGAAGATTGGACTCTAGATTTTTTTGAACTGAATTAAGGTTGTGCGGAACCCAACGTGTATACGCTAGTTTGTAGTTCAAATAATTGTGCAGATAATAACTGACTGTTGTACGTGGTATCTTTGTCATCTCCTCTATCTTTCTGAGTGATGCTCTTGGGTCTTCATCTAGCGCTTGAAGAATTGCTTTGATTTTTCTTTGATCCGGCGATTTTTTGTCAATTTTTATGATGGGCGCCTTTTTGTTCATGAAATGATACATCCTAACATGATACGTTACAGTGGAATAGCTAGGAGCATCCATACCGAAGCATTTTACCAATGTCTCGTAGATTTTTTTACAGTCTTTGCATTTTTTTGCAAGAGCGAGGATGTTTTCTTTATGATTCATTAAAAAAATGAAAAAAAAATCCCGCCAAAATTTCCCGCGAAACCGCCTCTTGTCTCAAAATTCATTTTATATCCCGGCATGGCGCCAAAATACAACATACTCATCATATACATATATTCATATTTTTTATTATATATTTATAATCAGCATATATCTCCTTTAATAGTCTCATATAGAGCGCTGTGCTAAACGCACCTTTGGACACCCTATATTATATTCTGCTGCATAACAAAGAAGTGTTTCTCCATAATATTTTTCATTGATATTTGCACCCTTTGAAATGAGAAGTTTGGCTGTTTCTTTACTATTAAATTCTGCTGCATAAAAAAGAGCGGTTTTCTCATTATATTTTTCATTAATATTTGCACCATGTGATAGGAAATATTCGCATAGAGATGAAATATTAAACATCACCGATTGAACAAAGCATTTGTTAATATCATTAGTTTGGTCGAAATAAACTAAAAATGATTCAAGATTTTTATATTTTCCACAATATTCTAAATCGATCTTTATATTGTGTTCATTCATCAAGAATGTAACAAAATCAATGTTATGGGAAATAATTGCATATCCCATGCATGCTTCATCTGGTTTTTGATATTTCAAACATTCACTCATGATCTCTGGATTTCCTCCTAAAAACGAAAATCTCAGACATGTTTCAGTTATTTTTGAGTTAAATTTTGTTCTTAAGAACTTGAAACAATCAACTGCTCCGTGGTAACAACATAATTCAAGAAATGAATATTCATTGTAAGAATATGGATATAATTGGCTTTTAAGTTTTTGGTCTTTATCAAATCCTTCTCTTTCAGTGAATGAAATGAATCTTTTTAGATCGTTATACATAATTGCTCTGTATATTGTATCTTCTTCATGAATATCAAGATTTTCAAATTTAGTGTTTTCGAAATTATCAGATTTGTTTAATTTAATTCCATATTCTTTGTAAAACAGGAATTTTGGAACAGTGAGAACGTTGAGAATATCTCTGACTTGATAATCATCATAAATTTGTTTGATAAGAAATAAATATGACTTTAAATAGCGATTATTAAACGGGATGAAGTTTAAAATATCTCTGATAATATCATAAGGATGCCATATCATTGAATCAATCAATTCTGTTTTGATCATTTTGTAAATTGAGTTTAATTCTTCTTCTTTTTCCGTTTTTAGCTGATATAATGCATTGCATGCATCTATATAGTATTTGCATCTACTTCGCAATTCGATGAATTTATTTGGATGGTTGTCTTGATTAGACATTAATAATTTTTGCGTTTTACAATATAAAATATCCTTTAAAGTCATTGAACAAAACACTATGTTATGCATGTGGAAAACGATTACTACCAAAGATTGAACAAATTCAATACACAGCTGAACAAAAGATGCACGATGGTAAATGGTAAAGATCTTGAATCAATATGGTAATTGTTTTTTGGTATCAAAATTTTTCATGCTTATTTGATACAAAAAGATTTGCCCATTATTTTGATAAAACCATTTGAGATATATCGCAATTTTTCATTCAAATGCACCAGATTATAGCAATTGCCTGACACACATATCCACATATGTTTGAAATCATTATATTATGAAGAACATAAAATAAGACAGCATAATTCAATAAAAAGTTTACAAAGTCATGAACAACTAGCATCACAGTGAAGAAAAATATTTACTCACCTACAGATAAGAGTAGTGCCGTTTAATTTGATTGTGGATCAATTAATTGCTATACACGTCTTAAACAATTGTCATGATTTTGTAATGTGTCTTGAATATTCGATTAATGTATTTATACTACATAGAACTATTCAATCAGGATTTTGTAAGACATCCAAAATTTTAGTCAGACAATAAAATTTTTCATCAAACAAAAAAAACTATTATATTTTGGACTAAAATATTAGTAGATGAGAAGAACAGTTTTGCCAAAATTCATAAGTTAGGTGAGGTGACCGTTAACTTTATTATATGACTATTTATCTGTCACTTTTTTGTTACTTCATTTTAACGATGAGTATCGCTTCTGAAACAAAAACATTCATTCAGAACTATATTAAAACTACAGTTAACGGTTTATCTTTAAACTCATTTTACTACGATGAGGCTACTATTATCAGATTAGATTCTAGAGGTGAATCAGTTGGAATCTATAAGGAAAAGAAAGAGATTGTTACAATTCCTAACACATCAAGAATTAGCCTTATGAGTGCACATGAGTCACCAAGTGGCGATCAGTCAATCCTTGTTCTCAAGGGTAAAATGGTTATTGGGGAAATTTCATACCTTTACGTCCAGAACTTAGAGATCAAGAAAGAGAATGGAAGATTCAAAATATTAAAGGATAGTTTAGTTACATTAGAAGCTACTGAATTTGGTAGCAATAATTTCATCATTGACCAGACAAAGAGAGAAAATAGACCAAGAAGAGAGGAACAGCCAAAGAAGGAAGAGGCCCCAAAGGCTGAGGAGAAACCAAAGAAGGAAGAAAAGCCAAAGAGGGAAGAAAAACCAAAGAAAGAGGATAAGCCAAAGAAGGAAGAGAAACCAAAGAAGGAAGAGAAACCAAAGAAGGAAGAAAAGCCAAAGAGAGAGGATAAGCCAAAGAAGGATGAAAAGCCTGCAAAGAAGCCAGATTTTAGTGAATGGCATCCAGACAAAAATTAACCATTGATCTAATAAAAATAAAGGTATACTTACTTATTATTAGATAGTTTTAATCAATAAATCTGTTTCAAAAACTTAAATATAAAAAGTAGTAGGATATGATGGGTTTTGTGACTTTTTTTGTAAACGTAAGAATTCATACAATATCGAGCGATTTTGTATCATTTTTTAACATATGAAGTAAAAAATGTATGATTCTTACGGTTTTTATTCTTACGTTTTTGAATAAATCAAGATTTAAAAAATTTTCAAAATTGTAAGACATTTACACTCAGCCCATACATAATGAAATAAAAAATAAAAATATATTTATTTATAAACCATTAAAAAAATTAAAGTTATTTTTAAAATAATTTATTTTTTTATTCTTACATAAATGACCCAACAAGTAAAACCAGATAAAATAGATTATCGAATTTTAGAGGATGGTGTTCCTGTTTATATTCAAAGATTTAAAGGGAAGCAATATTATAGAATTGTTAATCCTGAATACATAAAACATATATTTAAAAAGGAAGACTGTGAATTATTAAACGTTAATGAATATGAAACCAATAAATCAAAATTGAAATATAAATATATTGGAAGTGATGAAAGATGCAAAGATAAAGATAAAGTTTATACAGTTTCATATAATGAATGGAAAACCAATAAGATAAGAAAACATTTAGGAGATTATGGGAATTGTTCTGAATTCTTTAAATCTAGTATATACGAGAGAGTAAAAGAAATTAGAAATAATTATTTTCATGAATAAAAAATAAACTTTAAAAATTCATGTCTTACGAAAAATTAAAACTTAGTTATGTTTATTATTTTATTTTTTTATTTTGTATGAAATGAGCGTCAAAACTAACAACGTTAAAAAATTAGGATTCACAAACGAGGAAATAAAGGATATATTAGAGGAGGTGGGTTATGAAGTTAATAAATATTATTTAAGAAATTGTCAAAAATTTGCCGAGTTATTAAATGATTTAGATTATGATGGAAAAATGAATAAAGATGATGTTATAAATTTCTTATATCCCACATCTGAAGAAGAAAAACCTAAAGAACCTGATGTTTTCCCTGAATATTATGAAGAACGGATTAAAGATGATGAATACAATGAAATTGAAAGACTGAAAAAAATAAGAGATGAAATAGATGAAAAAATTAAGGAATTAAGAGAAGTTGAAAAATATAATGAAAATGAAGTAGAGGGTTTAATGAATATCCCAGCTTCAGAATCAGAAGTACAGAAATCTCATGAAGAAAGATATAAAAATTATGTCTCAGAATCAACACAAAATTTATTAGATGGTGAAATAGACGAAACACTTTCAGAAGAAGGTACTAAATTTATTCGTAAACATAAGTTACAATTTATTGATAATGAAGAATACCCCTGTATCCTGCTTTCACCACCTTTAGATTCCGAAAAATTCAAAAAAGCTCTTAAAAACGTGACATATGCAACTAATACGATTAAGAAAGAAGATCATGATATTTACACAAATTATTATTTAAATAAATGCACAGGTGTTGATAAAGTTTTTGATTTATTAGATAAAATATCAAAAGAAACCATTGGAACATATAAAATTTTATGTGATTGCGGTTTCATTGTTGAAGATACTAATAATGTTTCATATGAAAGAACAGCACCGAAGGAAGATGAAGTTGAAAGGTCTATACCATTCGTTATTAAGAACATAAAAGATATGAAAACTTATAAACATTATATTTATTCATTTATTTCAGAAAAAATGGAAGCAACCCATAAAACATCTTCTCATCATTTTATAGCTATTCATACATTCCTTTTCAAAGTTGTGAAATTAAATAAGACAGGAATTAGATTTAATGTATCAGGGTACGCATTCTTGAGTAAATTAAAATGTATTCGTCACGTCGCAGATGATAAAAATTTATGTGTTCTTAATTCATTTTATGGGCTTTAAAAAATAAACTTTATTTTTTATTTATTTTTTAATTTTTTATTCTTACATAAATGAACAAAAACGGAACAGCTAAAATGAATGATAATCAAATTAGAGCAGAAGGTAGAAGGTTATTTAAACGCTTCTATAACATTCCTGATGGTGTTAATCCTAAAACTCGTAGAAGCTATTTAAATGAAGCAATAGATGCATATGAAGGGTTTGACATTTCATCAGAAAGTGAGAGATTAGCGAGAATGTTAAATGTTAATATTGATTTCTATTATTGTGATCCTCAACCAGAAGACGTGGACATAAATAAGGTAGACTTTCCATTAGTGGAATCAATAATGATAGATCCAGAATTTGAAACAGTAAGACTGCATTAACAGGAGCACACACTAAGGCTGTATGTTGTGAAAATGGATGTTGTATGCCATTTATTTAATACAATTTAAAATTTTATTTTTAATAAAATGCCACAGAAGAGACAAAAGGAACCAAATCGATTTATACCAAATGGTTTTAACTTTCAGATTCCAAATAATCAACCACAACGAATTTTTCAAATCCCGCCACCACCACAGCATCAACGGAGAAGAACATTCACCCCTGAAGAAAGAAATTTCAATAATTTGATGCGTCAACAAAATCAAGGTTTGAGATTTTATCCGGGCAGTAATGGTATACATATAAGGCATCCAAATTTAGATAGAAGATATACCGCTGAGATTCATATTTTACCTAATAATACGGTTAATTTTGCTGGATTTTATGATCATCATCAGGAAATCTGGACTCCACCATTTGATACCGTTTTAGAAGGAGGAACCGTTAATGATGCGATTCAATATGTAAATAATGGTTTTGATACTATGATTCAAAGAGGTGGGCACCCTTAAAACATTTATTTTATTTTTATATAAATGGATAACGCAGATTTAGAAAATTTAATTGATGATTTAGTACTTAATCAAAATTTTCTTAATTATTATGAATTAAAATCATATCTCCAAAAACATAATAAAAATATAACAGGTGATGATATGGATTATTATTATCCATATTATAAAAATGAAATTTTGAAATATCATGATAAAATAATTTCTGAAATTAAAGACAAAATTAAAAATAATAAATATACAAAGGGAAAAACTAAATCACAACTTAAACAGTTGAAAGATTTCAAAAATAAAGTATTAACAGAAGAAGATATTGATGAATTATATAAATTATATAATCCTGAGCCGCAAAAGCCAAAGGAACAAAAGCCAAAGAAGAAAAAGCCGAAAACAACACCAAAAGAGAAAGTAGCAAATGTTCAACAGCTAAAGGTGCAAAACGCCCAGGTCCTTCAGACCATAAATGATGCACAAGCTTTAATTTATGATTCATTAGTTAAACCATATTCAGCCCGACTTTTAAATGAAGATCAACTTTTGGAATTCATCCTTCAACATAAACTCGAAGCGGGAAAGTATATCAAACCTTTATATACAGCATATTTAAAACAAATGAATAGAATAAATCCAGAATTAATGAAAGGAAAATCAACAACTAAAACTTCATCATCCAAAATCAAAGCAGATAAAATTAAACCACTTGCAACACCAAAACCTCCAACGGTAGTACCTCCTCCTTCAGTTAATCCTTCATCATTCACTTTATTATATCCATTTCAAACATTAAAGAAGCAAAAAGATTTTAAAAAGGATTTCAAGATATTAAATAAACCAATTGACCCGAAAATTCAACCGTTAAAGGAAAAATTTAGTCGCCCTTCATTTGCACCATATCCATATTCATACGAAATCGATCATCTGGAATATTCAAAAGGAAACGTTACTTATTTATTTGCCATTAACATTAACACTAGATATTTATATTGCATTCCGGTGAAAGGGAAAACAGAACAGGAAACAAGAAGAGCTATTCAATACTTACTAGATCATGAAAGAGTAGATAATATAAGGGGTGATGGTGATAAAGGATTTCAGGCAGCTATGATTCATTATTTCCCACAAATTAATTTTTACTTTTCATCCTCTCCATATACGTTTCATAATAAAATAGTTGATGCGGTAATGAGAACTCTTAGAGATGCGTTAGGGGTTAACGGTCAGATATACTGGGATGGAAATCATGACTCCATCATACAGCAGTTAGTATATTATTACAATAATACATGGCATAGAACTATAAACATGAAACCAGTGGAAATGAAAAATGATATTTCAAAAGAATGGGAATATATTAGAAAACAAATGGAAAGGTTAAATGATGTTAAACGTGAACAAATTAATTCGGGGCTCATGAATTTTAAACAAGGGGATAAAGTTTTGATTCATCTCGATTATGGAAAAACTGATAAATCAATGACAAAAAGAAGACGAAGATTTGACACAATAGCTGAATTTGTTAGATATATTAACGGCAATGCATTAGTTGAAGTTGACAATAAATTAATAGAAATTCCGATTTATTTTATTACTCCATTATATTTAAATAATATTTAATTTTTTTTATTTCGTAAGAAATGAGTGACAACAAAGCAGCCAAGAGTCCTGATTCAATTAAGATTCAGAGTCCAGACAATGAATATAAAAAGAAACTAAACAGAATTAAATCAAAAATATGCTATTACAAAAAGAAGCCGCAATGCGGTGGGGCTGATGCCATAAAACTAAAGTAATGAGAATGATAAAGAGAGGAAAGAAATAATCGAAAAATTAGAAACTTACCGTTCAATCCTTAAACTGAGTGAAGCAAAAATAAAAGAATTTAATAGAATAAATAAATTGATTGGAAGAGATGAATTTAATAAAGATGAATTTTTAAACTCAATCCAAATTTAATTTTTATTCCTCTTCGACAACGTCTCTTCGAGACGCCGAACCCTTCTGGGTTCTTCTTTCCATCATTACTGCATAACCGCATCTTCTCGGTTTTCGTGGTTTGTTGTTTTTAATTCGTTCTTGCATCATTTTTATCATTTCCTCCCTTGTTATGATTCGTGGTAAATTTTGAGCTTGTGGGGTATCCATTTATATAAAAATAAAATTTTGTTATCAGTTA